AAAAGGGAAATGAGACGCAGAGAGGATATTTTGCTTTCCTACAGAACAATGTAACATTCAGGCAGGGCTAATATTTAACTAATTTAATGAAAGCAAATTCATGGTCCAGCTAAAACATAAAAGCAATTTAGAAACTTTGGCATAACTTCAAAATTAATGTTCACAGATGTTCTCCTTATAACATTTTTGGAAAATGCCGCCAAAAACCATAAATCTGTTTCATTTACTTATCAATTTCATATAAAATCTCAATAAAATACATCAAAGCAGGAAGAAGTAACTATTTTAACTATAGATGGTCATTTTTGTCCGTCCTAATGAGCTAACCTCTTGTTTCCTGTCCTGCAGAGCAAGCTTACAGCAGAATGCGTGTTCAGGGAGCAGTTTGAGGAGAACTGGTACAACACGTATGCTTCCACGCTCTACAAGCACACAGACACGGGACGCTTCTACTATGTGGCGTTAAACAAGGACGGCTCGCCCAGGGAGGGCGGCAGGACTAAGAAACACCAGAAACTCACCCACTTCTTGCCTCGGCCAGTGGAGATTGAGAAGATCCCTCAGGCGTACAGAGACGTGTTCCAGTACAGGTGACCAGCGCTCCCACTGGGAGAACTGGTTACAACTGGAGTCCCAGAGACAAACAAGGACGAAGAGGAGGAAGATTAGAGAAGGGGGGAAGGTGTCGTGGACATTCTGGATGGTGTGCAGAACTGTTTACCCCTGAGCTCACATCGAGGTCATGTGACCAGGACATAAACGATAAACTCGGTCCTGGGTGCTTCTCATCCGCCTCGGCTTTGGACTTCAGCGAAATGCTTCCTCTGTGGAGGACTGAGCAGTTTGGGGTCAACCAGGAAGGTCAAAACAAGATGCAAGGGGTTGATTTTTGTGTAGAGACTTAAATGACATGCTTCAGCACACAGAGAGGGGGGATCCTTGTGTGCGTTTTAAAGCACAAACCTGAAAAACTAAACCTGGAGGCTAAGAGAGCTCCAGGAAGTTCCATTCAGGAGTGCTGCAGATATTTCTGATATCATACAAGAAGGGTTAGGCTTGCTTAGTTTGGTATATTCAGGTACTTTAAAATCTGTACGCAGATAAAAAACTATTACTAGTCGAATGTCAAAGATGGAAAATGAGGGTAACATCTCTGCCAGGACTGTAGGACTGATGAAGCACTTACCCAAACATCCAGAGCCCCAGCTGAGGGTCTAGTCTCAACCTAAACATCTCATTTAAATGAGTAAATTGGGGGCGTAAGCACTTCACCAACTACGGTTTAAAGGAGCAACAGATACGTTTGGTTCAGAGCTGGCGACTTGTAATGTTCAGAGTGCCTTGAACATTATTAAAGAAAAAGAAATGCAAGCATCTGAGGTGTACATATGGGTGTTCCTATTTATGAGATGTACAATATATTTATTTTCTACATATAAAGTATAAATCTATATATTTATTTATTGCAGAGTTTATTTTGTAATGAACGTGAAGACAAATGGACTGCTACTGAAATGAGGCAAACAGAAACAAAAAGATTGGAGAACTGCAACATGACAATAAAATTGTCCTGCTTTGGAGAACTTATTGTGAGAGGCCGTTCTTGCTTGGATTAAAGTGTGATGTACCAATTAAAACCAGATGTATAATATATGACTTAGTGTTTGTTTCATATTTTCAGACAGTTATCTCAAGGTTCCTATGCATTTTATTTTGGGTCAAGAATATTATTTTAATGCTTTAAATCTCATATTTTAAATGTGTAAACTAGTGCCTGCATGACACTAATTTAGAAACCAAACAAAGAACAATAATATATGCAAAATGCTCTTTTTTTATTAATATAATTTAATTTATTAAAGAGAAAAAAAGTTACCGTCTTCCTTAACCCTTTAAAGCCTGATCCAATAAAAAAAAAAAACAGAAAATCCCTTATTTTTGGTTTGAAGTCCTTATTTGGCCTTTTAACAAAATATGTAAAAAGAATATTATTAATTGATATTAATAATTTATTACTATGCGATAAGTCAAGATTATTTTTCGTGTAGTCTTCTGCCCTCTGTTATCAGGTATATCTGATTGTGTACAATAGGATTTTGCGCAAAGTTTTTACCATTAAATTATGCAAAGGTATCAGACGCAAAACATTTCAGAAACAGTATGTATCAAATATGATACATTTGGCATTACAGGGTTAAGAGATTGATGAGAAAACGTCATTGATCTCTCCTAAGGCATACAGGTGACAAAGACATGTGGACATCATCTAAAGAACGGGAGGCTTCCGCCATCTCAGTCAAGGTCAGTTTATTCAATAAAAAAAAAGAGACAGGGCAGATTTATCAGATCTATTGCAGACTTCTATCTCGCCTTTATAAATAAATCAGAATTAGAAAGAAGCATTTTGTGCTTCCTTTAAGTGCCATTTTTTTCAAATGCAGCACGGAAGCGAAAGAAAAGAAATCTGTGAGGGGAAAATTAAATTTAACAAGTAAAAGATGAATGGTTTCCAGGATGGTAAGTCTGTATTTGTTAAAGATTTTCAGTTGGAGCTAAAGAACAGCTGACATTATGGTAGCCATGTCCAAAAGTAGGAGGAAACATCTGGGACAAAAGGTATTTTTGCCCCAAACTCTTTCCAGGACTCATATTTCTACTTGAAGAGAATGCTAAAGATTTTCCCATACTTATCCAGGCCATGGAAATACAGAAATCAAAGTTTGCACCTTTCGGAGGGGGGGTTTCAATACTGTGGTAGAAGCCTTGTTATCTGGTGCTATAAATGGCATCTGGTTGTGATGTTCCTTTGAGCTTTCTCTCATCAGCAATGTAACAACAGTCATACCAGATTAAAAACATGCCTATTCCTGCTAAAAGACATCAAACTAAATGTCAGTAAAAGAACATGCACTCGATTGTTTCCCAGGGGGGGAAAACTGTTTCAATTTCGTGCTAGTTTGCCCTCATAAACCCCTCAATAGTAAGACTCATATTATGAAGCGATACACACAGGCTTCCTCTGTCTCCTCAAGCTTTGGCAGAGATACATCCAGCGTACAAAATCAGATTGCAACTGGATCCCAGCTTCTAATTGGCTTTACACATCAGCATGGATTAGGCCCGGTGATTGGCTGTTCACAGCAGGGGCCTCTCAGATGCTGCAGATTTACTTTTTTTTTTTATTCCAAACGGACAGAAGCAGCTGCCCTCTGTGCCGCGGACCTGAGCTGGTGGTGGTGATCTCGGGCTGAGATAGGATGGGATCAACATTTCAACATCTGCAATAGTTGTAATGTTTCCCTTTACTGGCAGATATGAGTACACTGCAAGAGCAAGCTCTCCCAGGGGGGGGAGGGAATGGAAAAGTCAAAGACATTCAGGGGGAAAACCCTGGCAGACCGAGAAATGAAAACAATACCGGGCGAAAGGGAAAAATACATGAAAGATGGACAGGAGGAGAGAGCTGGACACATTAGAGGACAGTGCGTCAGGATGTAGGGCGTGTTTGATACAAGAGCTTTCAAATTACACGCCTAACATTTATTTCTGCAGAACCATTTGTTTTTAAGCTTACTTTATCTCATTATTACAGGGTTTATACATGAATGAGTAACTCTTATTTAATGCTTTTCAATGCTCTGCAAAATCCTTCGTCATATCTTCACCGTGGACAAGCTGCAGCCATGTCCCGAGTTCCTCTTTTTGCACCACTTTGGTACAAATTTGCATTTTTCCCCCCATTCTCTAGCCTTTTCTCCACCTCAAGCTTCTGTTCTGAAGCCATTTTAATGCCACAATGATCATATTTAATGAATTTTAATGCCAATTAAGGCCTTAATTAAAAAATAATAATTTAATGACTTAATACAGGGTTTCCGAGGGTCATTAAAAATCATTTAGTATTTATTCTAACTTGTTAATTGTTTTTAAATATTGTACATTTCAGCTAAAAAGCTTCACAAAGATTCAAGCTTCTAATGCTGAACTAACGCTGGACTAGAGGAAGGAAACTGGCTTTTAAAAATAAATCTGTTATCAGTTTAATGTAAAATATTGTAACTGAAAGACAAAGAATTTAATTAAATATCTGGAGGAATGATTTCACTATTTCATTCACTTTTTATTTTTTACACCATTCCATGTTTATTTTCGATACTTATCTAAACCTGGAAAGTGATATGAGCAAGTTCTGGACTTTAAAAGGTTATGAAGGAAACCTAGAGATTAGTCAAAAACAGTTCTCTGATAAATTTTCTCACTTTTCTTTTTTTAATTGTAAAGAAATGAAACACAGGAAGAACAGAAATGATGATGGAGGAACTGAAACTGCAACCCAGACAGTCCTCCAGGAGATATGCAGACAGCTGCCCCTGTATATAAGCAGGACTCCCACACATTTCTCCTTGTTTTGGTCACTTTATTAAATGTTATATTAAATACTTATGAAGATTATAGCAGTCAATGAATGGCAAATTATATTTGTATCTGCTAAAGTGAGAACATTCTTCAATAAGGGGCAAAGCAACTTCATTTATAAAAACGCAGCTTGTGCAAACATAGAAATCAACAGGGTTGGTGACAAAAGTCCACCATCAACTTTGCTGAACGGCGACACCGATTTGAGCTCATAGAAGAAAGAACGTGTCAAAGCAGAATACAAGTCGCCTTGGAACAGGGGCAGACTCACAAAGCACTGGGCCAAAACCAGAAGAACTCCAGTCGATCGCTCCTCCTCCGTCTATACAGACATTGATATTTAAAAACGTCAAACACGGGTTTGGAGCGATGGACCGAGCTGGAAAGGTTGTGCTTCGTGAGACGCCGGGGGAAATCAACGCAGGTGAAAACAGGAAAAAAAAAACGACCCCCAACAATGAATGAGCAGGAACACGCAGTGCTATGCTAGGCAACACGTAACAATAAGAATGATGTTACAAAAAAAGTCATCGGAGCCGGCAGGCAGTTCTGGACGACAAGCTTTTCTTTTTTTCCTATTTTTATTTTTTTTTTCCAGCAACGACTAATGTAAACACATAAAAGCGGAATAGAAAATATTCACAACAAAATGTCAAATTTTTACAGAGATTCTTTTAGGAAACCATATAAGGCCATATTCTTCCTATTTTGTTGCCTTTTTAAGCATCTTCTACCTCCTGAAATAAGCAGGACTTTGCAGCTGTTCTAGTTTGTTAGGTAATTGGTGAGGAACAATTAACAATATCAGAGCTCGTTTTGTTTTGTAGTTCTGCAATCAATGGTTCTGGTCCCACTTGGATGTTGGTAGGCATTCAAAACTGTATAAAAACTGAGTTTAAATAACACGGAAACCCTTTTTGAAGGGGAAAACAATACAATGCTGAACAGCATTGAGGGGGTAAAACAGGTTTGTTAAATACATAAAAAAGTGATTCTACCGAACTTGAATAACATAAATGCGGTATTTACATCTCTCTTCCCCCCACTCAAACTTTTAAACAAACCTTAAACACAGTCATGTATACATTATATTTACTGTCTCTCAGTGAATCACAACACTATTAGATCCGAGGCCCCCGGCAGACAGCTTTCAGTGGTCTCACAGTAAGTTTGTCACAGACAGTGGGGGTGGGCGGGGCCAGATAGCCGACTTGTGGGATCAGGGAGGGCCCTGATCTGACCTACATGCCCTGTGAGGGGCCCGGGTTCTTGCCGTCGCTCTGATTGCCGCCCATGCCGTGGAGGCGCTGGTAAAGCCCCAGCAGGTTCATCTGGTTCATCCCGCCTGCCATCATGCCGTTCTGCAGGGCCAGCTGGTTCAGGTAGGTGGCCTGGTTGGCCATGGCCAGTTGTTGCTCCTGCACCTTTCTGTTGGTGATCAGCTTCTGTACGTACATCATCAGCTGGGGAAACAGACAGAACACCCAGTTTCAATTTACAGATATAAGAAGATGAGAGAAGCCCAAATGCGGTTCATAGTATTCTGGCTGCGACATGCGACGAGTCACGGACTTTTAACTTTTGAGTCATATTTTTTTTTTTTTATGTTGGATTTTGTGTAGCGTGTCTATACAAAATTTTTCATAATATAAATCTGAGAAGTCCAGCATACATTTCTATTCAGAATCAATTTAACTAGTTAAGGACTCATTATGCTTGATGAATGTATAATCCACGTGGAAAATGAGTCGTTCACCACAATTACCCCATTTCCACTACCCTTGAAAAACCGTGCCGAGACCGGTCCGAGCTCAGTAACTGAGATAACTTATCGTGTGTAAATGGAAAGCAAACAGAACTGAACCGAGCTAGACACAACCGGACCGCGCTAACTGCAGACCAGTTCCAGAGGTGGGCTCGGCTCGGTTTTCCCCTGGCTCGAATCTCTGATAACAAGAGCGCATGAGCAGAACGCGTCATCTCCGTCTGGCTGCACATCCAGATTCACACTCCAGTAGTTGGCGGTAATGCCCCTCCAAAAACAGAAGAAGAAGAACGACTTCTTCTTCAACTATAAACAACAATCGAAATCTTCTCCACGCAACATTTTAAATAATGGCATTTTAAACAATTACACCGAAGTACAGCAATAATAATCAAGCATAACTTTCTGAATGTGACGCGCGCCGCCATTTTGATTTGCTTGATTCCCTCCTTCTTCGTCTTCTTCTTCTTGTGTTTTATGGCGGTTGGCAAACAACTTTTGGTGCATTACCGCGACCAACTGCTTGATTTTCTCCTTTAAGACTGGCAGTAATTCCGCAGATCGTCACTAGGAGGCGAGGAACCGAGATAGCGTGATGTGTAAACGGTCATCAGAACCGAGCTAGGCCTGCTTAACTGATCCCAGCTCGGACCGGTCTCGGCATGGATCGGTTTTTCAAGGGTAGTGTAAATGGGGTAAATGTCTGCAGCATTTATGCTTTGTGCTCTTTGTGGAAAACTCCTGGAAACAAATGACTGTTTTTACTGGACGACATAGTTTGGTTGGTGATATTTATGAGCTAAATCACAGTATCTCTCTAGATGTTTACTTGTGCAAACCTCTCGCCAGCAGGTGCTGCTGCTCGCTTGCCAGGTTTTACGCAGATCTGTTTGCGTAGATACATTTTCCTAGGTGCGTAAATTCTGTCCATGTGGAGGAGCTTGGAAGCTCAAAATTATGCAACTTCATGACGCAGACCTCGCAGATGTGTCAAGCATAAATCAAGCCTCACTGCAAGTCTTCATCAGCTTGAGACCCCCAGAGAAAGATTCAGGATTCTGTCTTGCAGCAAGCTGAACTGCTTTTACACCTTTATTTTCTTATTCTTTGTTCAGATCAACTCACCAGCTTCCCAATGCCGATTCCCTATATCAAAGGATAATACTTCCACTACCATGTCTCATAGTAAAGATGGTGTTCAGAGTGATGTGCTGTTAGTTTTGCACCACAAAGACCAAAATGTTCAGCTTTTAGTGTCATCTGATTGAAGCCCCTTCTTACACCTGTCTGCTTTGAGCTGTCCAAGCCGTAAACTTGACATCTTGTGGCTTTTTTCTTGCCATTCTTAACTACAACTCTTGTTTTTGTTAAGCCAGCCAATAAGATTTGCCCTGCTGGACATTTTCTTCCACGTCATTGTTTAATGAATTTAAGTGTCCTTCAAACTCTTAACAACCTAGGGTGAAGACCAGGAAACAAAGTCTGACTAAAGAACGCTTACCCTTATTGAAATACGGTATTTGCATAAAGCCAAAATCAAAAATATCAGAAAATCTAGAGGATGAAAATCATCTCATAAAATGAACATTTGCAAACCACATTTGTTTACATTTTTTGCTTCATTCAACACAACAGCTTTCTCATTAAGACTTTGTTTGTTAATGATTGATCTAATTTAAACAACTTTACAGAAACCTGGCTGCAGCAAGAGGTCTATTAGCATAAATGAGTCAAATCCTTTTAGCAATTTCAATTTTGACATTGCCCAACATTCTGTAGCAGGAGTAGCTACAAACTTTCAGTCCAATTTGTCTATTCTTCTAAAGCCAATTAATAATTAAAATTCTTTGAAACATTTAACTCTTGTGCAAATAATTTTTTTAGATGAAGTCCCAACAAAATTATCTAAGGAAGTATTCCCTCTGATATCCAACCCAACTTTAGATAACATTAACATATCACTAGTACAGGGACATGAGTGGCATAATTTTAGGGTGTTATTAAACTTTTGCTTGACAAAACCTTCAAATTAACTAAACATTTTTGGAAAAGAAGCTTAAGTGTTACCTGTGGAGGACGATAAGCATAAGTGCTTAGGCCAATTCTCTTCACTATATATATTCTATATATATATATATTCTTCCAATTAGTAAACTTATCAGACAGCATGGGTTTTATTAACACTTTTTTGCTGATAAACATAACCCATTACCGTATTTTCACGACTATAAGGCGCACATAAACGTCTTTTTCCCTCAAAATGTGCAGTGGGCCCTATGGTGCGGTGCGCCCTATGTGTGTTGCAACTGCGACTTTTGAGAC